TGAGGAAAATCACAGAGACAGAAGAATGAACCTCCTTTCAGACCTCAGTGACTTAATTCTCTGATTTAAGTATCTCTGTCTCTGGCCTGATCTGAGGCATAAACATGGCTGAAATCTCTCCCTCTGTCCCCGAGTCATCAATCTCCACAGCTGCTGAGGAGCAGAGACACACCGAACAGGATTCAGCAGGAGAAATTTCCAAATTTACAGGCAATAATTACTCCCATCTGCTGTACACTATGAGATGTGAGATGTAATAATCAATAATGTGTGTGAGTGTGCTGCTCTGCATACAGCCAGTCAACTAACTATATGGTTAAAAGTAAATATAGTTCATTAACCTCATGGAAGTTATTTATTACAATAAATACATAAATAAATGCCACTATTTATTATATGCCTGTTTACATAATTGTATATTTTTTGTTTAATTATTCATACACTTATATTGTTGCTCCTCTTTCAGCTGCTCCCCTTAGGGGTCGCCACCACGGATCATTGGTCTGCGTATTTGATTTGGCAGAATTTTTAACCTGGATGCTGTTCCCAATTTTGTCTGGGCTTGGGACGGCACTGAGAGAGCACTGTTGTACGCAGCCAGTGGCTGGGGTTGGTTCCCTGGCTGGGAATTGAACCCAGGCTGCAGCAAGGAGAGTGCTGTGGCCTAACCACTAGTCTTCCAGGGACCCTATTTATACATTAATATATTGTGGAAAAATACAGATTTAATAATAATAATAATATTGATAAATATATTTGCAAGCAGTGATTAAGGGGGCCAAGCACCTTCTTGCCCCAAAATCTTGATCTCATGTTGTGTTCAAAAGTTGAGTAGTTTTACAGATTTGTGAATTATAGCACCACCTACATTTACATTTATGGCATTTGGCAGATGCCCTTATCCAGAGCGACTTACAATTATCTCATTTATACAACAGCAGTTGAGGGTTAAGGGCCTTGCTCAGGGGCCCAGCAGTGGCAGCTTGGCGGTACAAGGATTTGAACTCTCAACCTTCCGATCAGGAGTCCAACATCTTAACCACTGAGCTACCACTTCCCACACCACCTAGAGGAGAATTTGGGATAGGTTGAGTTCCTCGAGTCATTTACAAAGCGTGGTCTGAATATATCACCCTGTCACCGAAATATGCCCTCACTTCCTGTTTGGCGAGTCAAATTCTCCTTGCACGTTATGGACGAACCTTCCTGTACATCAAAAAGCTGCGAAACATGTTTTGGTTTTTCTCATGTTTTGGTGATGACTGGACAAAATTTGTAGGAGAAGAAACTAACAAAAACAGTTATAAAATTGCCAGAGAAATGGCACCAATAATCATTATGGTATTCATTGAGTTCAGCGTGACCCAAAGAATCGAAAGTAAAATCGCATTTCTAGGACATTGTGTTGCGGTGTTGTTATTGTCAACATGTATATATCCAACTTTGCCCTATTGGTGGCACTAGAGCACTTGAATGTTGCACAACAAAATTGCTGTGAAGGTTGCTGAGACTGCCCTCTATCACCAAAATTTATGAGAAAAACTACAAAAAAAACCAAAAAGCGTTCGATTGGCTTCCACAGAATAAGAAGAATACAATTCCAAATATTTTGTCTATGATGATGATGATGATGATGATTATTATTATTATTATTATTATTGCTTGTTATACATTTGAGATTTTGTGGACTTTCTGCACAGAGTGTCTACTTTGCACAATAAGCCGTGACGAGCTGGGGGACAGAGAGAAAAAAATATATCACAGCAATAAAATATCAGTTGTCACTTTCACTGTATTGCATTTACATTCCATCATGTGTGTGTGTGTGTGTGTGTGTGCCCCTCATCATGCTGATAAAATAAACCTTCGTTATTGCCACCGTCCTTGATGTGGACTGGAGTGAAAGTGGAGTGTGTTAGAGAAAAGCATCCGTGTTTGTCGTCTCTCCGGAGTCGCGGCTCGGTTTATATGGAGTTGACGAGTGTGATTTATCAGAAAGAGACAGAAAGGATGAGTGTTGACGAGGCCGCTTTAATAATGATCAATGCCACTCCTGTTCCCCCGACAGCCTTCATTATCCCGAGCTAAAAACACAGAGTCCTCAGAGAACAGCATCCATCACACACTGATCACACAGGCTTAGACACCGTACGTGTGTGTGTGTGTGTGTGTGTGGTGGTGGGGACAACAACGATGATGTCATTTCCAGTCAGGATAAATTATGGAGGTTTTCCCATTAGCATTTCCTTCTACCATTTGGGACGCGGCCCCCCCAAAAAGATAACGTCAATAACATATAACATTTTTCTGATGTACAGCGATTTTTGATTGTTCCCAAAAACTAGCATCATTTTCTGTAAAGCAAAATCAATATGTGATATATTTCCATCTATATTCATACTGTATGTACTGTGAGAACAATTTCACAGAATTTTATACAATCAGCTAGTTAATTATTAGCTCCCTTCATGAAAATACGCAGAAATAAATATAGTATATATCACATGCAAAGCAAAGTGTGCTCATGAAATCACTTCCTGGCTCATTTTTTGACATTTCTAGACATTTGAAACCTTCTTGGCCCTGATTGGCCCAGTCTCAGTCTCAGCAGCATTCTGTAATTGAATCAATTTTGTGGAATCAGGAAAGTAGCTGTTTGGTGATACCTTTCAGCAGGGTTTATAATTCCTTCCATACCATGGATCGATTGTGGATTTCCATATGTCACTTTTGTGCACCTAGGTGTGCACTAAGCTCATCCATTTGTTGTTTTTTTTTTTTTAATTATTAATTGGTACCTTAATTTTAATTAATTTTGACCTTGGTACCAACACTCATGTGGTGATAAATGACGCTTTTTGATTACATGTCACTGAGCAGGAATAACTGGTGTTTCTCACCTGAGCTCTCTTTCATTTCATTTTCACCTGTTTTTCCTCACACAGCCACATGTCCCACTGCTGGAGTCCTTCCATTGCTCCCTAGCGCTAACATTAATGTTAGTACGGGTGTTAGTGAGGATTTAAACTTTAGCCTTAGCTTTACTCTTAATTTCATTATTACTGTTAGCCCTGTTGTTAGTGTTAAGGTTAGAAGCAGCTTTTTCATTAGTGTTCTCAGTTAGTATTTGAAGTAGTGCCAGTGTTGGCCTAATCAAACTAAGTTAGTATTAGTATCCTCCCCTGGTTGAACGCTAAGGTCAGCCTTCTCTGCATGTTTGGCTACAGTCCTGTGACTGACCCCTGAAACCCCAGCGGTCTCCTCGTCACTCTCACTATGTTGTTCCTCCTGTACTTCCTGGGCAGCTGGACTGTTTCTGTCCAATGTCTCCACACCCAAAACAGCATAACCTCTCTGTGCTCGCAAACATCACCACTCTGGTTGCTGGAGCACTTAATGAGTTAACAACCTGCTCCATCACTCCTTTTACCCAAATTCCTGTTTCAATTAGTTTGTTTACCAAATTCTCCTTCTTTAAGAACCAGAGATTTGTTCGTGTTTCAGAGGAAATATTCACTTCTCTGAATGGTTTAGACAAAGAAGGAGAGAAAGACAGGGAAAAAGAGAGAGAGAGAGAGAGAGAGA